CTCCCCCTGACCCGTAGAACGCCTTTCATGCTGGCCCATCTCCCACAGGACCCGGCCATATGTGTTGAGATCTACTCTCAAAAATTGTGACACGACGCAGTGGAATCAGGCGCTTGTCATTTTTGGGCATTTGGAGTTATTGGTATCATCTTAAAGCCTTTTAAAGAAATTAAAATTTGTGTTTCTTTCGATGAAAAATGTACCCTTCTATCTTGAATAGAAGTCGAAGTATTTTCGATTTGAAGGAGGGGGAGTCGCCCGGTTTCAGTTTTAAATTAGCGAGAAAATAGCCGCCAAAATGTGATCATTTCAAAAACTTGAGAGTCCTTGAAAATAATAACATTACTTTTTTTTGCCTTTAATCAACGTTTGTCTGTGAAATTCACACGGAATTGTGTTTTTATACGAAAGCAAAATGTGCTGAGCCAAAAGGTTAAAACAAAAATGCTATAAAAATTGCCAAACAGTTCGAAAAGATTTTGACGAGCGCCTGATTTCGCCAAGATGCCTCAGTTATTCTTTTGTCATAAAACGCGCCGTAAAACATCTACTAAAACAAAACAAATTAATATTCTTTAGTTAGTATAGATTGTGGGAAGCGCATAGAGCTTGCTGTTGAGCGGGGATTTGTGCTACTCTCAAAAATTATTTTTTTGTAAAAGTATAAGAATGTGTAAGTTGAGAACCTTGAGGAAAACACTGTAAAACAACTCAAAGTCAAAGAAACCAAGTCGGGGATTGGAACATGGGACATCCTGTCAGGAGTCTTACATGATACCATGATACAACTGCGCTATCGGGGCGCGTTTTGATTTCATTAGCTGTCAGGGGTAGGGGTGTGGGTGGTTTGCGGGTGTTCTGGTGTGGTTTGCTTCCTCTTTCCTGTCAAACATCTATCGTCTTTATCTCCCCCTCATTCTTTTTTATGTTTGTTACTCTCTTGTAACACCTCTAATCTTCTGGCGCTCGTATGACCTTATGCAGTTGCGAGCGCCGTAAAACTTCTACTAAAACTAAAACTAAATAGGTAGGGGTATGGCAGGATAGGAATCTTCAACTTGAACGTAACGTTGAATTTACGCCAGTGAATATATTTTATTATTCTTTAGGCCTAATTTTACTACGGGTTGAGAAAAATTAGAAGAAATCCATTATGGGAAAAAAAAAGCACACAGCATTTGAATGGCTCTGCCACGCTTCCAATGGCTGGGAATAGCGCGGAAATCTTGAATGTCGAATAGGGAAACAGAATGGGCACAGCTCTAATGATAGGGGTAGGGGTAGGGGTAGGGGTAGGGGTAGAGGTAGGAGTATGGGTAGGGGTAGGGGTAGGGGGTAGTGGCAGGGTATGATGGGGGCAGGGGTAGGGTATGATGGGGGTAGGGTATGATAGGGGTAGGGGTAGGGTATGATAGGGGTAGTGTATGATAGGGGTAGGGTATGATAGGGGTAA